TTTCTAGTACAAAGTACTGGCTAGCTAGTGCTCAAGACCTTCAGACTCTGACACATTCTGCTTTCTGGAGGAACCAGGTATTACAATATGCTGCTCTTTGTCACTTGTGGCCAGGTGGAAAATTAGAGCAAGTCATGCCAACTTTATGCCTCAGTGGTCACTCTGCAAAGCAGCATGAAACACACACGTATCTGCAAACAAAATCTACAACAAACCATTAACTTTTTAAAAACTGTTTTAGAACCTACAATCAAAAAGCCGTTTCTTAACTGTCCCATCTACATTCACCAGTGAGGTGGCCCTGTCATTTATCTGCTTGAACATCAAGCAGATCGGCAACTAATATTTTAATTAATTAATTCAGCCCTTGATCCCCAGGGCGGGCCCTGAGAGACAGCGGGCTTATTTTCACAGCGGTCCCTGATGCTTGACTGTCAAGCTACATCACAACTGGCACTCTGAGCTTCATGCGAAGCCAAGCACTTAATCTCTTTAAAGGAGACCTGTCATCACATTCTTTCACTCCAGCGCAGCCCCAGTCTATGTTGAGACATACTGTCTCATGCACCTGTCTCTCTTTCCCCATCCTTACAGCCACCATCTGGGTTTAGATGCTTCTAAAATACTCTCTGAATCATTGCTTCTGCAAGTTATTGAGTGCCTGCTCTGGGCCAGGCATCATGCTGTGTGTCTCATATTCCTCTTCTCCCATCCATAAGACTACCATGAAGCCTAGTATTGGGTTGGCCAGAAAGTCCATTTGGGGCTTTCCAGAAGATCGTGTGGGAAAACCCAAATGAATTTTCTGGCCAACCCAATATAATCACCCTCGTGCGTGTGGGCTAAGTCCTTTCAGTCTTTCCTGACTCTTTGTGATTCTGTGGATGGTAGCCCATCAGGCTCCTCTGTCCATGGGCTGCTCTAGGCAAGAATGCTGGAGTGGGTTGCCATTTCCTCCTCCAGGGGATCTTTCCGACCCAGGGATCATACCCTGGTCTCTTATGTCTCCTGCATTGACAGGTTCTTTGCCACTAGTGCTACCTGTGAAGCCCTAATCGTTATTCTCAGAGTCCACCAAAGGAAATGGAGTCTTAGGAAAAAGAAGTCACTTGACCAAGGTCTTTTAATTAGGAAGTCACACAGAAGTATATGAACTGAGTTCTGTATTTACTTGAACAATGATGTTGCTTCCACTCTCTGTATTGCCTCTAGCCCTGCCTTTAATCTCTAAGATCTGGGAATGAAAACCAGGTGAAGCTAGGCTATCAGTTCAGTTCAGTTCAGTCGCTCAGTCATGTCCAACTCTTTGCGACCCCGTGAATTGCAGCACGCCAGGCCTCCCTGTCCTTTACCAACTCCTGGAGTTTACTCAAACTCATGTCCATCGAGTTGGTGATGCCATCCAGCCATCTCATCCTCTGTCATCCCCTTCTCCTCCTGCCCCCGATACTTCCCAGCATCAGGGTCTTTTCCAATGAGTCAACTCTTCGAATGAGGTGGTCAAAGTACTGGAGTTTCAGCTTCAGCATCAGTCCTTCCAATGAACACCCAGGACTGATCTCCTTTAGGATGGACTGGTTGGATCTTCTTGCAGTCCAAGGGACTCTGGCTGTATCCTACATCAAAAGGTATAATATGGCCCCCCAAAAAGACATGGCAGAGAGAGGACCTAGGGTAGATAAGATATGTAAAAAAAAGTTTTGAGCAGGCTTCTGTATAACTGCCAAGTAAATTCTCTCCATTGTTTCGTTTGTGGATGCTTCAGTAAATTCCACTTTGCTCCTGGTTTTTATGTACAGTATATTTATTTAGTGGTGGGGTGAAACAGGTGTTCAGGGCTACCAGGAGAAGGAAAAGATGGCAGACATTTGGGGAACACTTGGTTTTGTGATACTGGCTGATTTTCTTAAAAAAAAAAATAGATGAAACAGGCGTGCTGGTTCCCAACTCCTAAGTGAGGGAGAATGGCATTTCAGGTTAGGCAGTCATTGGTGCAAGTGACCAGAGCTGTGTAAGGGCCAGCCACATCTGCTCTTGGGGGGACAATGGCTTTCAGAGGGATTCTATCTGCATAGAAGATGCTGAGCTTATCTATCTGCTCTCCTTTCTGGCCAGCCTTCATCTCAAGCCATCCAGAGTTTCAAAAGTTCCCACTTTAACAGTTTTTCCTTCGCTGTTAAGGATTTTTTTTTTTTTAAAGGGAAGAAGACGAAAAAATATCTAGCCATTTTATAACCATTGCTTCTTAGCTGCCCTGGGGGGACCCACCTCTAACCTGAAACCTCCCATAATTGTCTGGGGCACACTGGGCCTCCCAATGACACCTTCATTTACTGCCATTACGGTCTGGCTCCAGGGTCTTAGAGCATGGTATCTGCCCTCTCTGCCTCTTGCTGCCAGAAGGAATTGCACTTAAAAGCTCTCCCTTATGTGACTAAATTGCCTCTTTCTATTTCATCTTGCACCCAGGTAAGATGGTGGGCCAGTTAAACCTCTCATTCCCCTGGTCATGGGAGTAGTTTGAAGCATGTCTATTGAGCATTTCCCAAAGCATTTCCTATAGCACACTTGGCCCATGATTGGGTCTTCAGAAGTGAAATTTAGCTGTTGAATATTCTTGAGAAACACGACCCAGTATATCTGAGTCTTGGAGACCCCTAATGCATATTGGTAGATGAAAGGCACAGGGAAGTTAAAGAATCTGGTATTTTGTAAAGTGATTTGGTTAGGGAGCCCTACTACTGTTTTCATTATCCCTACACCCTTTGAGAAATGCTATGCTAGATAATCATAACCCCTTCCCAGTGCATGGTATTTAGAATCTTACACTCTGTTAGAGCAGGAAGTGAGGAAGGCAGTATGATTTGAATTTACAGGTGCTGACACTGAAGGGCAGACCTGTAAGTGACGGGGCGTAGAGAAAGCAGCTGCTAGGAGGCAGATGGAATCAGGGTTTCTGACCTGTAGGCTGGGGATCCTGCTGCCAGGCTGGATGGCTTTTTTCCTGGGGCCATACCCTTTCAGTAGCCGTGCCCAGACGACACACACCCCCTCCGAGCAAAATGTTTTTCCCTCTGGCGGAAAGGGAAGTTTGTTTTATTTTGGAGGCTGGCAACCGAAGTAGAAGGGGACTTGTGTCCAAAGGCCAATTGCTCCCTGCTGATAAGGGGGCATGAGCTTCTAAAAGGGAGTTTCAGGGGTGCGCAGGCGGACGGAGGGGCCTACATGCAGAAACAGCAGTAACCTCTGACAGTCATCTTCTAATTGGTTCTGCGATGGTCTGTCATCTTGATCATATTAAGTACTGTTCATCTTCATTTCCAGGGTTGGTTTGTTCGCTTTTCCTTGAGGCCAGTTCTTGGGAATTGTGGCAGCTCCTGTCACGGCTACAGACTGGTCATCACTTGGTTAACTTCTCCACCTCGTAGGGGTTTCAGTGTAGTTCTAGAGACTGGGAATTCCAAGACAGACGAAGGTGCTGGTAGATTTGGTGAGCTCTCGAGAGTTTACTTTCTCGTTCATAGATGGCATTCTTCTTGCTTTGTCCTCACGTGGTGGAAAGGACAAAATGAGCTTTGTAATCTGGTTATTACAACTTCTACAATGGGGTAGGTGGGGAAAACTAAGGAAAGAAATACTTCTTTAGTGAATAGAGGGTGCTGGGTACTTTGTCCCCATTACCCCATAAATCCTTGTGATAAGCCTGAGAGGCGAGCATTATTAGCCCCATTTTACAGAGGAACACGCTGAGGCTAAAAGAGTTTAGGTAACTTTCCCAGGGCCAGCCAAGATTTATGTTTGGGCTTAACTGCCAAAAGCACCCCCTAGTCCTCTCACCCCACTACCAGATTTTCATCAATGGTACCAGCTCCATGACCCTAGAGCACAACAGGGAGAGCGAGATGCTCTGAGGGTTTGACCCTCTTTGTGTCCCAGCAGCTTGTTTACACAAGACTGGCCTAATCTGAAGGTTCAAGAAGAATAAGACTATTGAGAATTAGTCATTCTGCACTCAAAGGACGTAAACGGGAGCGGAGGCTTAAATGGTTTGACAGTGCTTTGTCCCCACCCTGTAAAGTGTGCTGGGATTTTATCCCCTACGCCAAACAAACTGTTGTGGTCTTCTTAGGGAATGGGGTGAAAATGACCAAGGTACGATCTGGGGCTCCCTTAGGCTAGGAAGTTGCTTGTATGCAAACAGTAGAGGGTGCGGCAGGAAGAAGGCCGAGCTCTTATCTGGGCTCTGCACCCAGAGCGTGTGACCTTGACAAGTCTCTACACCCACCTGGCCTCAGTGTCTCGTATATACAATAAAGGGGTGTATTGGACTTCCCTGTGGGTTCAGGGCTTGAGACTCTGCACTTCCACTGCAGAGGCCATGGGTTTGGTCCCTGGTTGAGTAAGATCCCACATGCCACAAGGAACAGTCACAAAAAAAAAAAAAGTAAAATAATTTTATTTTTTATAAAGGATGTGAGAAGATGCTCAGAGGTGATAATTGCTAGTATCTGGAGGCCAGAGGTTACCACTTCTCTGATCTGGATTCCACCTTCCAGCCTAGTTAGTCCTGGAAAGAGAGGTCATTTTAGGCCCACAGGATGGGAGATGTGGTGTTCTCAGCCTTCTGAAATGGAAGTGAGACAGCGTCCCCTTACAGGGCGGGTGCTGTGAACCACAGGCCTCAGGCCACTAGGGCCCAAGGACTCTGGGTGCGTCCTTCACCCGTTACTTGGTTCCCTGAGTTTGGGTTCCAGGCGGGGACCCTGAAGAGACTTGCATTTGCTGTTTGGGGATGACTGGTACGGAGGAGCAGGGCATCAGTGTTTGGAACCACACCTCCTCTTCCAGGCTCAGGTGAGGAGGGCCCTCAGGGTGGGCAGGGCCGCAGATGCGCCCTAAAGAGAGAGGGACACGGAAGGAGGTCCTGGGGCTTGTGAGAGGGAGAGGAAGGGGACCAGCTGCTGACTGAGGCCTGGGCCAGACGCGGAGCTGAGCGGTAGATGTTTCCAGAGGCTCCCGTGACAGAAGGTTGGTGCAGGCAACTTCTCAGCTCCCTCCCAGCTCACACCTTAGGTGTGACTTCATTTCCCTGTCTTTTCTCTAGCAGCCCCACCACAAACCAGTGCCTCAGATGAGCTCAGACTTGAGTGTGACTCATGGAAGTGCGTCGGGGCTGCCAGGCCTCAGACAACAGATTATAATCGACTCCTTCACGGGCTGCTGTGCACGTGGGGCCTCCTCCTGGAAGCGCTTTGTCCCCCCGGCCTGGTTGCCAGGGGCAGCCAGAGAGCTCAGGTGCGGCTCAGGCCCCTCAGAGACCAGCTGGCAGATGGACGCCAGACGCCGTCGGGGCCTCCCGTGGCCACCGCCGCTTCACCTGACAGGAACGACGATCTTAAGAAACCTCCCCTCCTGTGTCCCTCAACAGATGCAAAGGAGGGGGCCCTGTCACTATTTGGGAGAGAGGCACAGAGGCAGCCACGCCTAGATTCCAGAGTGTGGGTGGACGGGTGCCATCCATACTTCAGTAGTGCCAGCCGGCAGGACCCAGCCCCAGGCCGCAACTCCACCCCTCCTTGCGAGGGGCTCAGGGTTTTCCTACCAGAGAATGTTGGTAGGTTCTTCCAGGCTGGAGGCTGGAAATGCTGCCAGCAATGCCATCAAGGTGAAGCTAAAACATGTCATGACCTAGGGACAGCCAGTCTGTGGGTCATGCCTGAGGGTGTGCAGGCTCTGTGAAGGGAGGGACGAGGTTCACTGAGTCTCCAACCCCAGTGAGCCCTTAACAAACAGCTGTTGAATGACAGAGAGGTGGAAAAGCGTGCATCCCCGAAGGGGTCTTAGAGTGTGACTAGAGAGCCTGGGAAAGCAGGGGTCCCTGGGATTTGGGTTTGGATAGAGAAAAGGGAGAATTAGGGAGGAATCGTGAGCCATCTCCTTGGCACAGACATTGCGGTTGGCACATCATGTGAGTTACTCCTTTTCAACCCTACCCAGGAGTTCTTACACCCTCTGTGTGAGTTGAGGTTTGTGAGTCTAAGTGAATTGCCCAAAGATAAATCATTTAAGTGGTAGGAGCAGGATTCAAACCCAGGTCTTCTGATTGACTTGCCTTCATATAGTTAGGCCTTGATGTCCCCCAATTTATACAGAAGAAGACTGAGGTCTGGAGAAGCCAGCTGATGGAAGGCAGAGCAGGAATCAGAACTCAGAGCTCCGGCCTCACTTTTTCTAAGCCCTTCATGATCTGCCTGATTTTCTCTGGTGACACAGGTCTCCCTTATTCCAGGTAGCACTGCATGCATTCTGAGGCTCATCCTGTCCCCAAGGGGGCTGGGACTCCCCCCATCCCACAGTCTGCTTCTTCTGTCTCGTCAGCTCATCGCGAGCCCGGGAATCCTGGGCAGCCCCTTTGGGGCGGGCAGACATCTGGCTCACAGCTGGCCCAAGTATGGCTCATGCAAGTCTACGACAGAGAATGCCGGCTTTGTGTGTGTTTGTTTTTCTTTTCGCTGTTGATAATAAAATTGGATAATGAGCCTGATGAATGAGACGCCTCCAGAGACTGGTCAGGAGTCCCGGTTCTACCACTTGCTAGAGGCAGTGAGCTGTGCCCCTGGAATGCCCTCTCTGGGTCCCCATGTTCCATGTGAAACATTGGAAGTTGTGCCAAATGATAGCCAAGATCTTTTCCTAGTGCTGACGTTCTAGAAATCTATTTAAAACAGGTCAGCACATATACACCAAAAGAGTCAAATACTCTTCTTTATGTACCAAATCCTAAAATTAAACAAACATAAAATATTTTGATATTTAAATCAAACTTTGGCATTTTATGTTCCCTTTATCTTTTTATCCTCGAGTGAGTTTTTAAAAATAGACTTTGTTTTATGAAATAAGTATATTTTCCCTTCATAAGTGCACAGAATTTCAAACTCTTATTCTCATGCATTTCCCCCGCTAAAATGTAATTTAAAAAACCACAAAAATTGAGATGGCTAGAGTGGGGTAAATATAAAAACTTTGTGGGGTCCCTGTTTATCTATATCTTATGATGGTTAATTTTATGTGTAAAGTTGGGTGAGGTTAGAGTGCAAAGTTGTTGGTCAAACACGAGTCCAGACATTGTCCTGAATATAGGTTTTAGGTTATGAATAGCAGTTGTAATCAGCTGACTGTAAGTAAAGCAGATTATCCCCCCATGTGTGACTGGGTCTCATTCAATCAGTTGAAGGCTCTGAGAGCCAGGACTAAAGTTTCCTATAGAAGAAGGAATCTTGCCCCAAGAGTCAACATAGAGGACTTCCCTGGTGGCGCAGTAGCTAAGAATCTGCCCGTCAACCCGGGGGACATGGGTTCAGTTCCTGGTATGGGAAGATTTCACATGCCATGGAGCAATTAAGCCCTTGTGCCACAACTACTGAGCCTGTGTGCTGGAGCCCCAGAGCAGCAACTGAGAGTTAATCCTTAGTAGATTGATAGGGAGTCCAGGGCCCTCAAGGAGGAGAAAGAAATCCAGGGAGAAAGGGACAAACTTTCTTTTTTCTATATTTCTTTGTCTTAGTCACATAAGAGGTTTTTTCCTTAAGCTCTAAATTGTTATGGCAAGAATCTGTTTTGCCTAAAACTTATTTTCTTTAAGCCCAGAGCTAATGATTACACAGCAAAGCAACTCATCTTGCTCAAGGGTGAGTTTCCCCTTAAACTCTCTACTAATGACTATATAACAACAATGTCTCTTTCTTGAGGACATGTTTCTCCTTAAGAACCTTCTGACTAATCCCGTTATCTTATGTGAGAGTAGGTCTGGTAAGACCTCTCTATTGTTAGTTCCAATTCTGTTATCTTAAAAGATGTATGTTGTGGGAGTGGGTCTGGTAAGACCTTCCTATTGTTAGCAACCAACTGAAAAAGTATATAAGGCCTTGATAAGGCTAGCCACTGGGGCACTCTCTGCTCCCTTCTGATGTCTGTGTCAGATGCTTTCTCTGTCCCCTTTTCACCATAATAAAACTTCTGCCACACGAAGCTCAGAGTGCCTGAAGCCTCGTCTCTGGTCCCGAAGCTAAATTCCCTTCTTCAGAGATCATGAATCCGACACCATTCAGCCTAAGCTATCACAACTACTGAGCCCACATGCTTCTACTACTGAAGCTCACGCACTCTAGGGCCTGTGAGCCGAAACTATCGAACCTGTGGACCACTACTACTGAAGCTCTTGCATCCTAGAGCCGGAGTGCCACAGCTACAGAGCTCATGTGCTGCAGCTACTGATGCCCATATGTCTACAGCCTTTGCTCCACAAGAGAAACCCCTGCAATGAGAAGCCCGCACACCACAACCAAGAGTAGCCCCCACTTACTACAACTAGAGCAAGCCCGCACAAAGCAGAGAAGACCCAGCGCAGCCAAAAAGTAAATAAATAAATAAAAATTTAAAAAATACTAAATATATTTATATATATATAAAAGATATAACATAGAAATTGGCCTACCACTTCTGTTCTGGAAAGTGCTGACTGATATATTTGCGAGATTCAAAGATTTTTTTTTTCCACCAGAAATATAATAAAATCCATTACTGTTATACTTTTTTCCCCCCAGGAATGCTGTCTTCACTCTCAGACTGTGTTTCATCACCATGAGTTTGGGACTCACACAACCTGAGTGGGACTCCAGTCCTACTGCTTAATAGTGTGGGGTCTTGTGCGGGCAGGGGTCCCACTGAACTTCAGGCTCCTTACCTACCAAGCAGGAGCTGGGGAGCAGGGTGTGTGATGATAATAAACCCTTTGCCCAGGGGTTCCTGGGAAGGTCAGATGTGATGATGTGTTAAGTCATCTGAAACAGAGCATGAACTTGATAAAGAATAAACACAGCTAATATGATGAATAAGATTGCTGACAAAGGTCTGTATAGTAAAAGCTATGGTTTTTCCAGTAGTCATATACAGATATGAGAGTTGGACCGTAAAGAAGGTTGAGCACTGAAGAACTGATGCTTTTGAACTGTGGTGTTGGAGAAGACTCTTGAGAGTCCCTTGGACTGAAAGGAAATCAAATAAGTCAATTCTAAAGGAAATCAACCCTGAATATTCATTGGAAGGAGTGAGGCTGAAGCTCTAATACTTTGATCACCTGATGCAAAGAGCTGACTCATTGGAAAAGACCCTGATGTTGGGAAAGATTGAAGGCAGGAGGAGAAGAGGGCAAGAGAGGATAAGATGGTTAGATGGCATCACCAACTCAATAGACATGAGTTTAAGCAAACTCTAGGGAGATAGTGAAGGACAGGGAAGCCTGGCGTGCTACGTACAGTCCATGGGGTCATGAAGAGTCAGACACGACTTAGCAACTGAACAGCAATAGCAAATATGATGAGTATGACTCTTTGTCCTTCTATCAGCATTATTAACGGGACTCAATATTTTTGGTGCACCGGCTGGCTGCCAGGTTGTATGCTTTGGAGCTGGCAGTGGGAGATGGAAATCAACATTCTTCCCCTTCAGGAGCTCAGAGTTACCTGAGAGGGGAAAGCTCCACGTGTTCCATGATCTACAGGGCAAGAGGGTATAAATCATAGCTCTCCCAAGCTTACAAGGCCCAGCTCAAATCCTGTCTCCTTCATGAAACCTTCCCAGACCCCCCCTCTTATAAATTAATCTCCCAGCTACCATGTCCCCAGGACCTTTAGCTTGTGCCTTTCCTGCAGTCCTTACCACTATTTACCTTGTGTTAGCGTGATTTATGCACAGGTCAGCCTCTTCTCCTACAATGTGAGTTTCTGGGGACAGAAATATTTATGAAGGTACTTTGCATGACTTTGGCTTTTGCATGAAGGAGCAACATAACAGCATCAATAATCTGCCTCACACTTAAAAATGATTTTGTGGCAAAATATTGAAAATGGAATATAGTTTAAATTATTTTCACAATTTTAGTTCTCATAGCCATCTTCTGTTTCTTGGTGTCCATTTTTAAAGATGCTGTGCAAGAGGCAGAGAGCTTGCCATGACTTATACAAGGTCACAGAGCCAGTCAACAGCCAGGCCAAGCCCAGAACTTGGCCTGTTTGGGCTAAGATTTAACTAAGATGACTGTTCATATTCCTGGTCCTATTAATTAATCGCTCTTCCAAAAATTAAATCACTCTTACCAAGCCCATATCCCGCCATGCACAAGCAGTTTGGCACCCTAGTCATGTGAGTTCCCTTCCGGTTTAGACATAAAATGAAGCCTTATGAAGCAAACTGCATCTTTTAACTGCCTCTGCAGTCTGGCTGTGACTCCTGCCTTGATGATTTTCAGGTTGGCAGAGGCCCTTCTCTAGCAATTTGTCATCAAAACCATGTGGATTCAGAGTGATGAGAGATGGGTGTGCTTGCCCACTGATCTTTCCACTCTTCCTCCCTCGGATTTCTCAAGGCCTTGGGACAACATTGAGATAGAAGCTCAATTATCTGCTCTTGACAGGTGAGAACCTTGAGACTTAAAAGGGCGGAGTGAGTTACGTGCCCAAGGCCACACACAGCCACGGTTCAAATCCATGTTTCTTCTGATGCTAAAGACTTTCCATGATGCCCACACTGGATTCCTTCTCTAATTAGGAAAGACTT